ATCTTCACCAAGGCAGCAAGCACTAAGGTCTGTGAGTCCATACTTCCGAGGTTAGGACTCATAGAACTCCCATGTCACTAGACTCTCCTCCATGGAGTGATCTACTCTTTTTCCTTGGCTTGGGTTTTGTCCCATTGGGTTTTACCTAGCTAAGGTTTTAATGAGGGATTACTTCATGGCTTCCAAGCTTGACTTGTTCTATATGGTCAAGCTTGAGGGGGAGTGTTGACATGAAGAATAAAATGGTACATCCTAGTCTAGAGAAGGCAAGATGGTGTCTCGGGTAAAGAATGGAGCATGTGTGGTCATCCGTACAGTTTAGGGATTGGAGGAGCCAAACCTAACTTCTGATGCAAGCTTCTCTACTTACCTTGGTCCAGAAACAAGAGAAGATAGTATTTAAATACTATTCAGGTCAGCAAGGAAGGAGAGAGCCGTTGGGGATGTATTGNGTCTCCTTGTGGCCAGAACCTTTGTTTATTATTTATGCCCACTTGCCTTGTCTATTAAAGGATGCAACCATGTATTATTTCAGATTAAGGAAATATATTTTCTCTTCACTATACTCTCTCTCACGAAATTCTCTCTCTCACTCTTCTTTATTCTTCATTCTCCAGCAACAATACTCTCTTAATCTCTAATTCTTTCAAAAACATGCACATGCGTGTTCAGATTTATAATTAAACAGGTGAATCATATGAACCTTACATCATCTAATTACCTTATTAGTCTTGTATTAGGAAAATTCCAAAAAAAAAAACAATGAATGTACAAGTTGTCTCATCAAAACGATGTACATGAAAAAATAATACCCATAGATAATATTTTTTGTTGTACACATGGATCATATGTTCATATGTTTCTTACATATGAGTGTCAAAATAGTCTCATCAAAACGATATACATGATAGAAGTGTACAAAACAATAGACGTGATAGAAGGGTACACATGGATGCTATATTTTGTTGTACACTAGTCTTGCATTAAGAAAATTAAAAACCAATAAGACAGTGGGTGCATGAACGCTTAAAACAAAGATCATCCTTCCATGTTAGATCCATCCACGTTTGTTTTGGTCACTACCTTATGAATCTGAAAATATCACAAACAAACTAACTTCTCCGATAGCGATTCCAGTCACCGCTCCTATTAATAACTTATCCGAAGCAGAAAAAAGGAAGATGGATTTTGAGGAGATCATCCTCTGCTGCCGTTTTAGGTGGTTATAAAACTTGAACCTTTCTACAGAAAGATTGAAACTTTCTCAAAACTTAATAACATTTCACAAAAAAAAAATTGAAACTTTGTACAAATTAATAAAATTTCTACAAAAAGATTGAAACTTTCTGACAAACTAATACCTCTGGGATCATGAAGAAGTGAATGAGGAGCTTAGTAATCATCTTCTTTATTTCTTCCTTGTTTCTTCTCACAAAAAGACAAACAATACCACAAGCAAACTAACTTTTCCGATGGCGATTCCAGCCACCGCTCCTGTTAATAACTCATCTGAAGCAGGAAAGGAGAAGATGGAGTTTGAAGAGATCATCCTCTGCTGCCATCTAAGGGATTTGACGGTGGTTCTAAAACTGAAGATGAAAAAATTTGAATAGGTGATTTGTGAGTAGTAATAGGTCTGGGAGGAGACAATTGAGAAAGAGGAGAAAGAGATTCAAGTGTAGTTGGAGTGGATGGAGATGGAGGAAGAACAAAAGTCAAAGAAGGAAATGTAATCTCCAATAGAAAAAAACAAATTAATTAAATCTATTCTTGTTTGCCTTTTTCAAGGACAATATTGTATTTCACCATTTATAATGTGTCTTAGTAGCACAAAGTACATTTTTATGATATTAAAACTCATAATGTGACCTACACTGTAATTCTTTTTTTTCCTCTTCAACCATCAATTAATGTTGAAAACAATTTACTAAGACAATCTATCGAAATTGTGCAGCCCCTAAATGACAAATTCTGAACATCATTTGATAAATACATATCATCATCTTCTTAGCATATATAAGCATGTGAAATAAAAAGTCTTGTTAAAAACAAAAGTAAAATATAATAATTAACTAAATCGTTCTATGTTCTCGTCTACCAAGTATAAAATAGGTATACCATTAAAATATCTAAATTATGAAATATTTTTCTTACTATGTTTTTATGAATAGATATATAAAAATGTCATATATTCATCAAATTTAATTTCAAGTGAAATAACATTGATTCATGTGGTCACACAAAAATGAACTTAAAGAAGAAGTCTTGCTCTTAATTTATAGATAAATGAAAAATAATATATACAATTTGTTAAAAGTAATTAGTTAATATTATGCACGGGTTGAAACATACAGTAAAACCTCTATAAATTAATAATGTTGGGACTTTGAAATTTTATTAATTTATAGAGATATTAATTTACGAAAGTTTCCTTATTAAAATTTTTTTTTCTATTTTTTTTATAAAATAAAAATATTTGATTTTAGCATATGTACATTATTTAAATTTTAAAAAAATTTGAGTTTTATATTGTTTTATTATCTTATTTGGTGTATATTTTTATGTTTCATAGAATTGTTACATGGTTTTCGATGTAATTTAACTAAATATTATCAAAATATATTAAAATGTTTAAAAAATAAAAGTATTTTTATAGTAAATATAAAATCTCTAACTAAATATTATCAAAATATACTGAAATGTTTAAAAAATAAGAGTATTTCTATAGTAAATATAAAACCAACAATATAATGTTAGATTGTACTTATATAAAATTATATATAGCTAGATTATTAATTTATGATTTTAGTGGGACCATATATTTACATGGAAGTTTTAAAAATATTATTATCTTATTATTTTATCGATTNATACTGAAATGTTTAAAAAATAAGAGTATTTCTATAGTAAATATAAAACCAACAATATAATGTTAGATTGTACTTATATAAAATTATATATAGCTAGATTATTAATTTATGATTTTAGTGGGACCATATATTTACATGGAAGTTTTAAAAATATTATTATCTTATTATTTTATCGATTTGTGTCATATTTTACACCGGCACAAGTTGGGACCGATGAAATTTATTAATTTATAGAGATTATTAATTTATCGAGTATTAATTTATAGAGGTTCCACCGTACTAGTTTTAGACTAAATACCTAAACCGAAATACAAGAAAATCCTATCCTATGCCTAGGCTTGGTGCACAATCATTCTCTGTCTTTTTCTCTTGGGCTTTCATTGACACTAATCTCGATTATCGTCTGTAACTGTTGGCTCATTAGTAGCTTTTAATATGAAGGCCGACAGAAAAAAAAAAGGACGCCATGGTGGGCTTATTGGTTCCATTCGTAATTTGGTTAATCTTCTTAAGCATAATTCACTTGAAGTTCAACAAAAATAAAATTTGAAGTGGGTGGTGAAAGAGTAACAAATGTTGTAGAGTCGGCTCTGTATTATATAAACTTTTATTTTAGCATTTTAATGCTCTTATTATTGATCCACTAGGAACAACAGAGTCATCATATTAGTTGACTAATTAGAAATTAGTAATACAAATTAAATCAATTCATAAAGTTCCGGCGGCTAATGTTGCAGCCTTTATGATGTGCATGTGCTTATTTGTACCTAAAAAAAGAAAGAGAAAATGGGTATAATTACCAACCGAATCGGCCAATCAAACCGATGTTTAGCCAATTTGGTACAAATCCGGTCAGTAATATATTGTTTTCAACCGACACTCGGTATGGTTTGGTATTTATAGACCAATTGCTTTTAAACTTTGATATATAAACTAAAATAACGAAAACTTATTAAATTAATCTATTTTTTGCAAAAATTAAATCAAACTTAAACTAAAATGACTGCAAATAATAGATTAAGAAATCAAACAGAATTTAATTACTAGACCAAACCGCACCAAAAGAACCGAACCGTTTGTACCAAATGAGGAGGTGTAGACAAATCAAAGAGTAAAACGTGTGTGTGTCTCGTCTCTCTCTCCTTTTGAAATTGAGCAGCAAATCGGACAAAAATAAGTCGTGTGAGACGGGACGCGTTTGCATCTTTCGTCATCGAATTCTCTCTTTATTACCACCAATAACAATCTCCGTGATTGGTTCTGTATAAACGATCCCTGACAAAAAGAGAGACAAAGAATCCTATTCGGATCCGATTGATTTTTTGAAATATGGAGTCGGACAATGGAAAGGGGTTGATACTAGCAGTGGCGTCTAGTGCTTTCATTGGTTCCAGCTTCATCTTGAAGAAGAAAGGTCTCAAGCGAGCTGCTTCCAGTGGGACCCCTGCAGGTCTTCTCAAATTTGCCTTCTTCTAGTTTCTTATTATTTACTCAATTGCCTACTTTTTGAATCATTCTTACAATTAGTTTTATCTAGAATGAAAGAAATCACATGGAATTGGGGTTCCTGCAGGTTATGGAGGTTATACATACTTACTTGAGCCTCTTTGGTGGGCTGGCATGGTCACTAGTGAGTCTTTCTCCCATCTTATCTTATATGTTACAGATCACAACATAGTGTCTAAACTCAAAACTTGTTTTTAGTGATTGTTGGAGAAGCTGCAAACTTTGTGGCCTACATTTATGCACCTGCTGTACTTGTCACTCCTCTTGGTGCTTTAAGCATAATCATCAGGTAATAATGTATATGTGATTTGACTTCAACATTTCTGTCTTGTTTTTTTTTATATTAACTTCTGTCATTTTTTTTTTGTCACTCATTCATTACTAGTGCTGTTTTGGCACATTTCCTGTTAAAAGAAAAACTTAAGAAAATGGGGGTTCTTGGATGTGTTTCTTGCATCGTCGGCTCCGTTGTTATTGTCATTCACGCTCCTAAGGAGCAGACTCCTAACTCCGTCCAAGAAATATGGAATCTGGCTACTCAGCCAGGTAGGCACCATTATTCTCCCTCCCATACATACATGATGATTGTGATTGTGATTGTGTTTGTTTATCTGAGAAGTTCCTTTTTTCTTTTCAGCTTTTCTAGTATACGTAGCCGTAACCATGTCTATTGTCCTAGCTTTGATTCTCCACTTTGAACCACTCTGCGGCCAAACAAACGTTCTGGTTTATATTGGAATCTGTTCCTTAATGGGTGCTCTAACTGTAAGTTGCTTCATCTGAGCATCTTAGCTTCAATTAAATCTTGCGCTGTGTTTCTCTTTTCTCGAGTCAATGTTTTGTGATGTTTTGTGAACAGGTTATGAGCATAAAGGCCATTGGAATTGCGATAAAATTAACAATGGAAGGAGTAAACCAGATCGGGTATCCACAGACATGGATTTTTTTCATGGTTGCAGCAACCTGTGTCGTTACACAATTAATTTATCTGAACAAGGTAAGCTCCCCTCTCTTCATATTCTTAGAACAGGTACATTGTTAAAGCCCGTGAACAAGTATCCATAACTCGATCATCAACCAACTTGACCGAGGGACATATTTGCTAGTCTTTTCAGGTTTAACGAGCTGAATCTAGAATTTAACTAGGCATTGTTGATACTTTTACGTATATTTTAACTGTAATAGCCGTGCTGACTTGTTGAAACTTGGCCTGTGATTCGTTCTAATATATGTATTCTTTGGCAGGCGTTGGATACATTCAATGCAGCAATTGTCTCTCCCGTGTATTATGTAATGTTTACAACCCTCACAATCGTTGCTAGTGCGATTATGTTCAAGGTACGTTTTAACTATATAGGGTCTCTCCTCCATCAGCAATTGTTTTGTAATCATGGCCTTTTTTACAGGACTGGTCTGGGCAAGATGCAGCCAGTATAGCCTCTGAGATATGTGGATTCATCACTGTCCTCACAGGCACAATGATACTTCATGGGACCAAGGAAGAGGAACAACAAGCTTCTTCAGGTGATGGCAATGGAGATTTGATATTTGGGTCTTCAGAAACACTAAGATGGTACGAATCAAGAAAGAGCAGTAACGAAGAACACCTGATAACCCTGTACAGTCCTGAATACTAGAAAGAAGGTTCCAGTCCCAAAATAGATTTGAAATGTGGCAAGAAGAAGCCTCGTGGAATGAAATGATGATATATTAGTTTTGTATTTGTTTTTGTTTTTGTGGTATATTCTTTGTACAGACAAAATTTTGTCTAATTGAAACTCCACACATTCTTTATCTCTTCTTAGTACACACAGTACAGTTTCTTCTTCATATATGGACTTTCGTCCCAATATACATAGTATGTATCGTTTGTGTTGTATCGGACTGCTCAGAGACCAATTGGGCGTTCCCAAGACCGGTGATGTCATCGCTAGCGACAACGTTATCGTTGTTACTAGAAAGGCTTTGTTTCATTAAACTCGGAAGCGATTCTTAGTATCATATATACAACATTTACAATACTCAAGCTGGTATTAGGGGTGATTGGTGTCCTATCTCCTGTTTTAATTTTACTTTTAACTTACAAAATAACTAAAACACTTTGACGACGACAAGAGCATCTCTTAAAAAATGATCTCACTTATCAAACCTCCAACGTGATTACCAACATGTTGATCCATGAACAAGGAACCGCATCAAACATCAAGAGAATGGTAAAATCTGTTTTAAGCCCCATAACTTGTGCGTTGCAAAAGCTGAAACTATACCGCAGGGTCCCTCCCATTGGTCTTGTGCTCTATACAGGCAGGCACCATTGTCAATGAGGAAGGCAATATGACACTGAGCCTTTTTGAAAGATAAAACAATAGTCTCTACCTTTGTGACAATATGTTTCACACTCTGACAAGTTAGTTTTCTGTTGTAATGAACGGCAAAGATACTGAATGTATCACACAGTAAAAGGTTTGAATGAGGCTATCAAGCAGTCATCTGAAGAGTTTTACTAGGGAAGTACTTTAAGAACCAAGTCAAGGGGAAGTATGTGTCTGAAAGGATACTCTGTTACGCATGAGTGCTTTTGATTCTGATGATGATGATTCTGGAGATGGAGAGGTTTAAAAAGATGGACCACATTCCAAAACTGAACCAGCCTGTGCAGGCTTTTAAGGTTACACAGAAGACAATTTACCATTTATTTGATCATTCATCAATAAAAGTAATCTTTAAATTGTTTGATAAATTAAACAGAGAAACATAGAATAAGAAGAAGAAATACAGACAAATCATTCCAAGTTATTATTAACAAGAGCGTTTACTCAAACACAAACGTGCAAGAACTTTGAACCTCTTTGGCTACACATTCCAACTCCTTCAATATCTCATGCTTCTCTGCGGATTCTGAGTAGAATGTCGCCTTCTTTAGACCACTAGCGTTGGCTAGAATGTACATTGCAGCATCTCTCTCTTTCTCTGTGCCCTTGTATTGTCTCCACTCGAAGGTCTCAAGATGGGATGTTAAAGATTCAGGAACATGACTTGGTTGCTTCCATGAGTCTATAGTGTCGTGCTGGACACAGTGTTTCTGAAACTATAGGATAGAGATAATAATACATTTTGTTACTACTGTTCGGTCGAATATAAAGTGGAGAAACAATACGTAAAGGTAGCAAAGGAGGAAAAGCACATACCAACTTGAGCTTGAGAACTTGAAGCATCGGTGCAGCATTGAGTATAAGGGTAAGTAGATTCCACCACTCCGAAGAACATGTACAAAGCTCTAGGTGTTCAAGAGAGAGGAAGGAAATGCCAGAAGGAGTCTGCAATCAAAGGCAAAAAACAAAGAGAGAGTAAGAATTTACAATGATAAGAAAAAGCATAGACTAGAGAGTGTGCAATCAAACCTGTGAAGTGAGAGAACACAGAGAAAGATATTGAGTCGAGGCAAGACATCCTAGAGCTTGGTCCGAAACAACGCTGACACTCGCCTTAACCAGCTCAGGCATATCTTCAAACTGTAAATAATTGCTGAACCTGTCTTTAATGGTAAAGCATCTCAAAGAAGGTGTTCTAATCACAAACCCATGAACACCTTCAGGCCTAGCCTTCCCACTAGAGTTATCAATACATAAACTCCTCAACGTATCCACATCAATAGTGAACACCTTCACATTAGTAAATGAGATTCTTCTCACCACCAAATCTTCAAGAACAGGGCATCTGCTCAAAAGCCTTTCCACTGATTCATCGTTTGAGAATCTAACAGACAAAAGGCGGAGACTTTTGAGGCAAACCAAACGAGCATCAAGTGGAACATCCACCAGACTCGCCTTCTCGATTATAACCGTTTCAAGTTGTGAATAAATAAATAAGCTTTTGGGCAACTCAAAGCAACTGCAAACCATGACGACGCTAAGCTTTCTCAAAGATCGAGTTACTGCAAGGTTAACCAGAGTTCTGATTTGTCCGTTCATGTAAGCAGGGTCGATTCTGAGATCCAAGCTCTCTAGGTTTGAGAGGTTGGTGATGAACAGTAGGAATCTCCTGTAATCTCTACTATATGAACAACCATCATACCTGAATGTGTTCAGCTCTTTCCAAAGAGATCTCCATTGGCTTGACAAAACACTTGTGGCTACAGCGTCTTTGCTTGGAAGACAATGTAGGATCTTTAACAACACTTCATCCGGAAACTCACTGATTGATCGAGTCTCAGTGAGTTCGTGTTCTCTACATTTCATCCGGAACCAATTCATGGTCGTTGACTCAGTTCCGACAGAGATCGAATTCAGACAACAATCATCAAATTGAGGAGACCCAGAAAACGTGTTCCCTATAGGTGAAAAGATACTATTAAAATAGAAGACTTTTTTTAAGGTCTCTTTGAGTATGTTTTAATATTTACAATAATACCACTATATTTAAATTTTAATTAAAAACTTTGGGAAAATATTTGAAATATGCATATACGATTTTTATAAGGACAATTGACTAAAATATCACTTTTGAAGTTTTTATCTCAAAAATGACACAGAAACGTCACAAAAATGACATTCATTAAAGGTTAAAATGTTTCTCTTACTATTGTGTTATAATTCATAAAATAAGTAAAAAGAAAAAAATAAAATACATCACGTTTTCACTTCTCTTTCGCGAAACCTTGGTTCACCGGTGAATCGTCGCCTCCATCGTTTCCGGCGAAGAAGACTAACTTCATCTCCGACGAAGCAGACGAAGAATTGAGGTCTCTCGAATCGTGTTCCTCCTCTCTCGAATCGTGTTCCTCTTCTCTTGAAGCGTCTTCCTCCTCTCTCAACACAGAGATCTCCATTGAGAGGCCGCAGAGAAAAATCGCACTGAACCACCACCGTCACACTTTTTACTCTCAAAATCGGACACAAATTCCGTTGGAAACAAATCACGATGTAAATTTTTTGGGGATTTTAAAATTAGGGCATTTGATTTTGATTTCTACTTTACATATTCATTTGTTGTTTGTTCAACTCTATTGAATGTTGAATTTTATTTGTTTTACTTAGCTTTCCTACTAGAAAAGTTGATTTTGGTTGGTTTGGTACTCTTTGTAACTGAAGAAAATAACTATTAACTTGAGAAGCTTGCATTTATTTTTCAGAGAACCAAATGTCCTTGGAAGTTGTTGGAGCTCAAATCTTCTCCTGACGGAAACAATCTCCAGAGCTCTATCTCTTTGAGGTATTTACTTTTTCTCACTTCAGGAAGAGTTTGTATTGTTTAGGAAAGCCTTCCTGAAATTTGGATTTTGACAAATGTAGAAAAAAAAAGTGTTTCTTTTGGTGCTTGTGATGCATTTTTACATATTCATTTGTTTTTTGTTTGCATCTATTGAATGTGTTTAGCAAAATGTTACTTATGAGATTGTTAGTCTCTTTTTGCTTGTGATTGTGAAACTCTCTTGTGTTTATAAAGTTTTCAGGAAGCATTTGTACAGTTTTAGGAAAGTCTTCCAGAATAGTTTGAAATTTTTAAACTTTTTTTTCTTGGTGTCTTGTTCTACTTAGGCATGTTGATATCTTTGATAGGCTCTTAAAATTGCTTATTAGTCTCTTGTTGCTCTTACTTGTGAAACTGTCTAGTGTTTTAAAAATTTCAGGAAACATTTATGTATTTTCCCTTCTTATTGCTTTTTGAATATGGGTCTGAGATATTAATAAAGTTTCATTGACAATGCATAGGATTGTGAGCACATGAGTTGACTGTGAAGTCAAATTTAGTCGATTGTATGTGTGTGTGAAAGTATGTGTGTGTTTCTTTTTCTCACTTCAGGAAGGATTTGTATAGTTTCCAAAACCATCAAGACAGTGATGAAACACAAAACCTGCTTACATGTTCATTTGTTGTTTGTTTGCATCTATTGAATCTGTTTAGGAAATGTTATTTAATACATTGTTAGTCTATTTTTGGTTGTGCTAGTGAAACTCTCTAGTGTTTATAAAAAATTTAGGAAGCGTTTGTACAGTTTCGTAAAAGCCTTCCAGAATAGTTTGAAATTTTGATATTTTTTTTCCTTGGTGTCTTGTTCTACTTAGGCATATTGATATCTTTGATAGGCTCTTGAATTTGCTTATTAGTCTATTTTTACTTGTGCTTGTGAAACTCTATAGTGTTTATAAGAAATTTAGGAAGCGTTTGTACAGTTTCAGAAAAGCCTTCTAGAATAATTTGAAAGTTTTAAACTTTTTTTCCTTGGTGTCTTGTTCTGCTTAGGCATGTTGATATCTTTGATAGGTTCTTGAATTAGCTTATTAGTCTATTTTTGCTTGTGTTTGTGAATTGTTTATTATGCAGCAATTGTACTCTCCCGTATATTATGTGATGTTTACAACCCTCACAATCGTTGCCAGTGCGATTATGTTCAAGGTACGTTTTAACTATATAGGATAGGGTCTCCATCAGCAATTGTGTTTCATTTTTTTTTTTTTTGTAAACATGATCTTTTTATAGGACTGGTCTGGGCAAGATGCAGCCAGTATAGCCTCTGAGATATGTGGATTCATCACTGTACTCACAGGCACAATGATACTTCATGGGACCAAGGAAGAGGAACACCAAGCTTCTTCAAGTGGTGGCAATGCAGATTTGATATTTGGGACTTCAGAAATAGTAAGATGGTTCGAGTTAAGAAAGAGCAGGAACGAAGAAACTTGATAACCTTGTACAGTCCTGAATACTAGAAAGACGGTTCCAGTCCCAAAATAGATTTGAAATGTGGCATGAAGAAGCCTCGTGGCATGACATGATGATATGTTAGTTTTGTATTTGTTTTTGTGGTATATTCTTTGTACAGACAAAATTTTGTCTAATTGAAACTCCACACATTCTTTATCTCTTCTTAGTACACCCAGCACAGGTTCTTCTTATATGAACTTCCTAATATATATACAGTATGTATCGTTTGTGCTGTGTCGGATTGCTTAGACCAATTTGTTCGATCCCAAGACCGGTTATGTCATCACTAGCTACAACCTCTGTTCTAAAAATCAACTGTGTAGACGCTAATCGCTATAAAATATCGATCATCCGATTTTAATCCGTTTAAACTACCTAGGCGGCCGCCTAATTTATTTTTTAATAATACTTTTTATTTATTTATTTAATCTAAAATTTAATAAATATAATTTATAATTATAATTTTGATGAAAATTATATCATATTAATTTTATATATTCTATTTGTGTGTTTTATAAGATTCTAAACATGAAAGTATATTAAGTTATACACAATTAAAGATTTACATATTTCATAACATATCAAATAGTCTAAAAGTTCTATCCTGTATAATCTCTGATTTTCTTTTTAGACGCTAGGTCCAACTGTGTCTCCCGACTAGTGCCTAGCGTGTTCCCGAACATGGGCTACAACGTTATCGTTTCATTAAACTCGGAAGTCGGAAGTGATCCCATACAACATTTTTTAGTAGTTTACATTCCTCAATTTCCTCATCTTTACTAGTAGATAAATGGACGGATGTACATTCCATCAAAATACAAGAAACCTTAAAATCAAAGGCCCATGGACTACAAAAGAAGCCCAAAATTGAAAAACGATGGTCTCCTGTCTGTATGGTCCAATACCCAAAACCAGATCCGGTTTCCTAATCAACATTCATCATATGATTTCGTACCGGCGAATCTCGCCGCCGTTAAACCCTTACAGACCTCCTGCATTCGCCGGTGGACATTCAAGGAGCCAAGTCTCCTCCCATGGTGGTTTCTCCCTCCAATGCCCATCAGTAACCCTACGAAACGGCCCATCTGCGTCGCGCGATCGTTTCTCAAAGAAGAGCTCTCTCAAGCCGTGTCTCGTCTCGAGTCCCTGACAAAGCAAGGGATTCGCTTACCCTTCGAAGTCCTTGCCTCGCTTCTCCAGCGTTGTGGAGACACGAAGTCTTTGAAACAAGGCAAATGGATTCATCGCCACTTGAAGATTACCGGATTCAAGACACCGAACACGCTTTTGTCAAATCATCTGATCGGAATGTACATGAAATGCGGTAAACCTGTCGACGCACGTAAGGTGTTCGATAAAATGCATTTCAGAAACTTGTATTCGTGGAACAATATGATCTCTGGGTATGTTAAGTCAGGGATGTTGACTCGTGCACGAGAAGTGTTCGACGGTATGTTGGAGAGGGATGTTGTCTCTTGGAACACGATGGTTATTGGTTACGCGCGGTGTGGGGAATTAAATGAAGCTCTTTGGTTTTATAGAGAGTTGAGGAGATCTGGAATCAAGTACAATGAGTTCAGCTTCGCGGGGGTTTTGACTGCTTGTGTGAAATCAAGGGAGATCCAGCTTACCCGGCAAGCTCACGGGCAGGTTCTTGTTGCTGGGTTTCTCTCAAATGTGGTTCTATCTTGTTCCATCATCGATGCGTATGCTAAATGTGGTCAGATGGAGAGTGCTAAAAGATGTTTCGATGAGATGGCAGTGAAGGATGCTCATATCTGGACCACTCTCATCTCTGGATATGCCAAAGTAGGTGATATGGAAGTGGCTAAAGAGTTATTCTTTAAAATGCCAGAGAAAAATCCAGTGTCTTGGACAGCATTAATTGCTGGATATGTTAGAGAAGGGTCAGGGGACCACGCGCTTGATTTGTTTAGGAAAATGATTGATTTGAGGGTTAAACCAGAGCAGTTTACTTTCAGCAGCTGTCTCTGTGCCTCTGCGAGCACTGCATCTCTTAGACACGGGAAGCAAATCCATGGATACATGATCCGTACAAATGTTGTACCCAATGCGATTGTTATTAGTTCTTTGATCGATATGTACTCCAAATCAGGGAGTTTGGAGACAAGCGAGCGGGTTTTCAGTCTTTACGGTGATGACAACAAGCAAGACTGTGTTCTGTGGAATACTATGATTTCTGCTTTAGCGCACCACGGGCTTGGCCACAGGGCCTTGCGCATGCTTGATGACATGATCAAAATCAGAGTAAATCCGAACCGGACAACTCTGGTTGTGATTCTCAGTGCATGTAGTCACTCAGGTCTGGTGGAGGAAGGAGTCAGGTGGTTTGATTCAATGACTGTTGATTATGGGATCGTTCCCGACCAAGAACATTACGCATGTCTGGTAGATCTCCTAGGTCGTGCCGGTTGTTTTAAAGAGTTGATGAGGAGAATGGAGAAAATGCCTTTTAAACCGGACGAGCATGTCTGGAATGCGATCCTAGGAGTATCAAGGATCCATGGAAATGTAGAATTGGGGAAGAAAGCAGCTGAAGAGCTGATCAGACTGGACCCTGAGTCGTCTGCGCCATACATACTACTGTCGAGCATTCACGCAGATCATGGGAACTGGGAATCAGTAGAGAAGCTGAGAGGGATTATGAAGAAGAGAAGGGTGAATAAAGAAAAAGCTCGTAGTTGGATTGGAATTGGGGAGAAAGTTGAAACTTTCACAGTGTCAGACGGGTGGCATCATCCTCGTAAAGAAGAGATCTACTACGTTCTGCACAATCTGGCTGCACTAATGGAAGAAGAAGAAGAAGAAGCTTCAAGAACATGATCCTCTTACAAGAAGGGAGAACTGTACACTGTTAAAGCCTGCAAAAGCAGGGGAGTTATACGTGTTGTGATGATTTGATTTTAGCTTCAAAAGTTTTGTAAGTCTAGCAGAGCTAACAAAAACAATGTTCTTTTTTTCTTTCTTTGGTCTTGCTCCAGATTTATTGTTTGATAAAGAAGTAAAATGGAATAAATTTTAGTTTCTGCAGGCAGTTTGATTCGGTATTGGCTGAGTTATTACAAAAGAATGGAGATGGCAGGTGAGCTAGAAATGAGACAATAAAAGACAAGCGACCAATACTTGTGATGTCTCCATCGAATTTATGGCAAACCAAACGATGCCACAAGCCAGTAACCCCGTTTTGTCTTAACCCGTGACTAAGTTCTGTGCATCCATCAGATCTTTTTAGTTTGCGTCATTTACAATCCAGTTGATATCTCTTGCATCCAACTACTGGTAGTTGAAGCGTTCAGTGTTTTTTATTTCTTGTCTGATATAATCATATAAATAGTTTTTGTGAGTTCTAAGACAGAACGACGACCTTGCTCAGAATCCACATCACCAGAGAGAACTCAAATGCAAAGAGCGTGTGGAGCAGTGAAGGCGGTACATTGATCTGTACCTTGTCTGATGAGTCAGTGCCACTCTTGGGTGAGGGGGCAGCTTCAGAAGCACACGTCAAAGTCATGTGCACATGAGCTCTATGTGATTCTTGCAGCACTCAACAAGCACAAGAAGAATCCACATAGCTGCAGAACATACCTTGAGAATATAGAAGAAGAATACGTTAACGCAGACTGCTGAAAGTAATAGAGAATTATCCCAACCAAAACTTTAGAGGAATACCACGGTGGTATTACCACCAAATCACCAGAGTTGAGGAAACTCTTGTCAGACTTAACACTAAGGCCACAAACCGACAGGAACTTATCACAACAAAGGTCGAGATGATGAAGAACCTGTACTTGTGACTTGTAATGTACAACTGTTTCTTGATCCTCATGCGTTCCTGACATACATCATCTATGGTGTCGGATCCACATCTATCGAACATAGGAAAGAATACTTGGGCTGAGGAGAAAATTTTTCTCTTATGCACAAGTTCTACAAGGAAATTAAGGCAAGAGAATGCGGAAAGGCAAGCTTCACCAAGGTAAAATCATCAAGAAACAGAATCCCCCTTGCACATTCCTAAAGAAATATATATAGTAGAGTCAAATAACTGATGAGGGCTAGGAATTGAACAAGCACGTTGAATGAGTTGGTTCTCACAACTGGTGAAGGTGAAGACTACAAACATCAAATACGACACAGTTTTACCAGAAGAGGAGTGGTCCAAATCACACCATTTGAGGAGGAGACGTAAGTGTTACGCAGATCATCCGAAAACAACAGATTCTGAAGGTTGTTATGGTGTGTTTGAGTTGATATTCGTCTTCACAAATATTCAGATTTCTGCAGATGAATCAAATTGTGACGGTATCACCATAGTCATATATAGAAGGTAACTTCCTGGATGCAATATCCAGAGCGATAGCTGAATCAGACGCACCACTCAACAAATCGAGAAACCGACAACAGACATATGTGCACCAAAAATTGCTATATCTCAGCAACCAGAGAGAAATAAGATATAAAACCGTCTGGCTTGGATTCCTAACTCAACAGCGGTTCATTATTTTGGGTCGTTGTTAATCTTCCAATCGTAGTGATTCTTAAGATATTGCTCCGAGAACATAAAGAGGATTTTCTGAATGAATTCATTGTTGGATAAGGTTGAATGATGACGTGTGAAACAAGGAATCTTATCCTTCTTGATTTATTATGAGATTTGTGTTTATCCTATTAGGAATAGGATTAGTGTTAACCCTTATAAAAGGTTATGTCTTATGTCGACATATGGTGTGAGTCTTTGTGTGAGTTGTGATTTGAGAGATTTTAGTTTTTGAGTGAATTTTCTAAGACATTGGTTTGATTAATAAGAGCTTTGAGTTCTTGATCCTAAAGTTCTATATTTGGTATCAGAGCATTAGGTTAAAGTTATGGTAGAAGTTAAAGAAGAAACTACTGAGACTAACAAGGTATTTGGATCTTCATCAATCAAATACCCAATGTTAAACTCAACAAACTACACGGTCTGGTCAATAAAGATGAAGCTAGCGCTAAAGGTGAATGAGGTGTGGGAAACAATTGAACCAGGAAGCAAAGATGAAAAGAAAAACAATCTAGCTACTGTTCTCATATTCCATGCCATACCAGAAGCACTAGTTTTGCAAGTTGGAGAACTAGAGACGGCAAAAGCTGTATGGGAAGCAATAAAGGCTAGGTATGTCGGAGCTGAAAGAGTGAAAGAGGCTAGGTTACAAACTTTAATGGCAGATTTTGATAGCTCAAGATGAAAGATGGAGATACGATTGATACGTTTGTTGGCAAACTTACAGAAATCTCGTCAAAGGCTGCATCATTGGGAAAATTGATTGATGAATCAAAGCTTGTAAAGAAGTTTTTGAAAAGCTTGCCTAGGAAAAACTATATTCACATGGTTGCGTCCTTAGAGCAAGTTTTAGACCTTAATGAAACAAGCTTTGAGGACATCGTTGGTAGGTTAAAGGCCTATGAAGAGAGGATTGCTGAGGAAGAAGAGGATACACATGTTGAGAGTGAGAAACTGATGTATGCGAGTGGTTACTCATCACAGGATAATAATACAATGAGTTATGGCAGAGGTAGAGGTCGTGGAGGACGCTTTGCTTCAAGAGGAAGAGGACGTGGTCGTACTGGATCATTCCAGAGCCAGAGAGATGCGTATAAACAAGGACGAGTCAGAGATCTTTCACATGTTACGTGATTCCAGTGTGATAAACATGGACATTATGCCAGTGATTGTCCAGACCGATTGCTGAAAGTACATGAAGATAATGACAAGAAAGATGAAGATACTCATGAAGCTGATGAGTTAATGATGAATGAGGTTGTCTACCTCAATGAGAAGAAAGTGAATCCTAGCATCTATGAAGCTGATGAGTATATGAGAAATATGTGGTACCTGGACAATAGAGCCAGCAACCACATGAGTGGTAACCGTGGTTTCTTTTGTGAGCTCGATGAGTCTGTTACATGTTTTGTACGCTTTCGTGATGACTCAAGGATTGACATTAAGGGAAAAGGTGCAGTTCGGTTTGTCTATAAGAACGGAGTGAAGAAAGTACTAAAGAATGTGTACTACATACCGGGTTTGAGAAGCAATATTGTGAGCTTGGGACAAGCAACTGAAGTTGGATGTGAAGTAAGAATGAAGGGGGATACTCTGACATTACTTGATAGAATGGGAGTAGTAATGGTGAGAACAACAAGATCCAAGAATCATTTGTACAAGGTCAACCTGCAAGTAGACAATGTGCAATGTTTACAGATAAAATCAGTTTTTGAGTCATCAAAGTGGCATGCTTGACTGGGGCATATCAACAAGGAAGCTATGAAAGCAATGATCAGTAGAGAACTGATTACAGGAGTTCCTAATTTCAAAGATTGCAAGGAAACTTGTGTGTCATGTCTGATGGGAAAGCAAACTAGGAGACCTTTTCCGCAAGTTACAAAATACAGAGCTGCTAAACCGCTGGAACTTGTTCATGGGGACTTATGTGGACCTATTACACCATCAACACCTGCACACAAGAGGTACATATTTGTGCTTATTGACGATCATACAAGATATATGTGGACGATTTTATTAAAGGGGAAGAGTGAGGCCTTTGATAAATTCAAGGTATTCAAGTCACTTGCTGAACAAGAAACTCTTGAGAAAATAAAAATCCTTCGGACAGACAGGGGAGGTGAGTTTACCTCTCATGAGTTTAAAGTCTTCTGTGAAAGTAATGGCATTGAGAGACATTTGACAGCTCCATACTCCCCACAACAGAATGGGGTAGTGGAAAGGCGAAATCGGACTTTATTGGAGATGACAAGGAGTTTGTTAAAACACATGAACATGCCAAACTACTTTTGGGGAGAAGCCATTAGACATGCTACTTATCTTATGAATCGAGTTACTACAAGGTCTCTGGGTGAAACAATACCATACGAAGTTTTGAAGAAGAGAAAACCTAATCTTGGTCATCTAAGGGTGTTTGGCTGCAAGAGTTATGCAAGAACAGAGAGTGTAGGACGTAAGAAGCTGGATGATAGGACAAGAATGCTTGTTCACTTGGGTACTGAACCGGGATCAAAGGCCTACCGGCTAGTTGATCCTTCTAGCAAAAGGATTATAATAAGTCGTGATGTCTACTTTGATGAGGAGAAAGCTTGGCATTGGAACACAGAAACAACAACAGCAAACAACACTCTTGATTTCAGTATTGGCGTGAGGCAATTAAGCTACGAACCTGATCAAACTGAAACGGTGGAGGAAGTTAATGAAACTAACAGTGATAGTAACCAAGAGGAGGAGTCTAGTGGTGAAGAAGAAGAAGAAAATATTCATCCACAGCTAAGGAGATCATCTCGTACAATCACACAACCTTATTACCTTGAAGACTATATTCTTATTGCAGAGGCTGAAGGTGAGCATCTTCTTCTTCTCGTAAATGAGGAACCATGGAACTTTAATGAAGCTAAGAGCTTAAGTGTGTGGATCGAAGCATGTGAGGATGAGCTTCGTTCAATAGTAAAGAATGAAACCTGGAGTCTTGTGGAGCTGCCAAGAGGAGTGAAACCAATTGGTCTTAAATGGGTTTTTAAAATTAAACGTAATGCAGATGGCAGCATCAGTAAGTACAAAGCTCGACTGGTTGCAAAGGGGTATGTTCAAAGGCATGGAGTGGACTTTGATGAGGTATTCGCTCCAGTAGCTCATATTGAAACAATTCGTTTGATTGTGGGAGTTGCAGCCTCAAATGGATGGGAAATACATCACCTTGATGTTAAAACTGCGTTTCTCCATGGAGATTTAAAGGAGGAGGTCTATGTTAGTCAACCTGAAGGCTTTGTTGTTGCAGGGAAAGAGAACTTAGTGTAAGTTAAGAAAGGCACTTTATGGTTTGCGTCAAGCACCAAGGGCCTGGAACATCAAATTGAATCGAATTCTTCAGGGTTTGAGCTTTTATAGATGCTCTAAAGAACCATCACTATATCGAAGAGAGATGAATAAAGAACTACTTATTGTGGTAGTTTATGTAGATGATCTACTTGTCACCGGATCATCACTCAAGTTGATTCATGAGTTTAAGGCTGAGATGGAGACAAAGTTCGAAATGAGCGATCTTGGTAGATTAACCTACTACTTGGGAATAGAAGTGCATCAGTATGATGGAGGTATTGTTTTGAAACAAGATCGTTATGCACGCAGGATTCTTGAAGAAGCTGGTATGGGATCTTGTAACTCTACACACATACCTATGGAGATGAATGCTAAGTTTTCAAAAGCTCCTAAGGAAAGTAAGGTTAACGAGAGAGAATACCGTCGAAGCATTGGTTGTCTCAGGTACTTGCTTCATACACGTCCTGATTTGTCTTTCTCAGTTGGTGTACTTAGCAGATATATGCAAGACCCAAAAGAATCTCATGGAGCAGCATTGAAGCAAGTATTGAGATATCTTAAGGGGACGTGTTCACTTGGTCTCCGGTTTATGAGAAACAAAGGCTTACGTTTGATGGGTTACAGTGACGCCTCTCATAACGTCGACGAAGATGATGGAAAGAGTACAACAAGGCACATATTTTATCTTGGAGATAGCCCTATCACGTGGTGCTCTACTAAACAGGAAATAGTGGCCTTATCATCATGTGAAGCTGAGTTTATGGCAGCTACTGAGGCTGCAAAGCAAGCCATTTGGTTACAAGAACTCTTGAGTGAAACAATAGGAGAGGACTGGAGACGAGTGACTATGAAGGTGGATAACGAGACTAGTGACTATGAAGGTGGATAACAAGTCATCTATTGCACTTACTAAGAACCATGTGTTCCATGGGCGTAGTAAGCACATACATAGAAGATTTCACTTTATTAGAGAGTGTGTGG